GTTACAAAAAAAAAATTGTTGACAACTTATACTTTATTTACCTGTTATACCCACGACTCTGAGGGGGAGGGGAGGGGTCTACTCGAAATAATCTTGTGCTAGAAATACAAAGAAATTACCAAAAATACTTATCAAAGAAATACACAGAAATACATTCAAATACACATCAAAAATACGAGTCGTTGGTCTTACTTGCTCCAAAAGTCTTTGGTTCTTTGTTTGCCTGTGCCCCGGCGGCGCTGACACCTGTATACCTCTCTGGATCACTCGTCCCACAGCCGCACATTATCTCTTTAGGACCATTTACTTCAAAGTTGAAGGGATTATACTTAACATAGTTCGAAGGCACATGGTATGGTTATATTAGAGGTCCGATTGTGGTTTAGTATTATTTTTATCCATTCTTCGGTAACCACTCTTCGTTGGTGCAGCCAAATCCGGGTGGTAAAATACCGAATTTGTGCTGGGCTAAAAATTGTCAGTCTCGAATTTGGTTTTAAACGGTCCTCTCTGAAGAAATGAGATTTTATCGTGATTGCCAAAGCACTAGGCCCCTAGAACTCTGAACTTCCAATGTCCTATTTTTCAGGCCGGGGTGGGGGAGGGGTGGGCTTACTACTCTATTTACCATTTTTTAAAGCCTGATCATTTTCGGCTTTTTCCGACCAAAAACGCCCTTTACTGCCTAAGCGGCGGGAGAGAAAGAGCAAACCGCAAATAAATGTACGAAATTTTGATGAGATTTAATTCGGTTCGGAAAATTATTGTCTGTTCAGCCGCCCGAGGCCTTTCACACTGGTGTGAATAAGGCATTACACTAATTCGTGGCAAACCGGCGAACTTGTGGCGAGTCCGACAAATTTGACAGCATCAACCACTGTTAAAAATTACAACAGTAAATAAGTACAGAATGGACTGGTAATTTTAAAAACAGTGTAATCCTGTAGTTTGCACTGTACTTTCTTCTGGAGGAAAGTTCTTTTCAAGCAATTTCAAGTCTTTATCCCTCAAATACCAGTCGAACAGATTTTGACCGTAGTATGGAAGTACAGGACGAGCTGTATGAATTCTGTTTCTGGGTACAGAAATTTTTAACAGTGACCTAGGATGAGGAAGAAAATAATTTAGAAAGTATATTACTGGCGTTTTCTTTGGATAGGCTTCGCCTCACGTGAAACACCCTATTCCACTGTTTTCTTGCAGGGTTCCAAGCCAGAGCGTATTCCAGTGAGCGGGTTGCCCTCAGTGTCCGTGTCCCGGGGGTCCTGCAGAGATGCAAGGCACCAGGGCGTGGTGGGGCGTGGCGGGGCGTGGCGGGCCACTGGTCCACAGGCCCACATATGTGGATGGCCTTGACGTGGCAATGACTCGGTCACAGCCCCCTCTCTCCCCTCCCTCTTTCCAATTCTGCACTTCCCTTTTCCTTCCCTCTTGCCCGCCTCCTCGCCTCCTATGCGCACCCCTCCCCCTCCCATTCTTCGCCGATGTAAATGTTTGTTTCTTTTCTTCTGCGTCCTCTCTCCTCTCTCCTCTCCCGCTCCACACTCTCCTCCTCCGCAGACATTGTTTCACGCGCGGGCAAACGACTGCAAAGCGGAGGGAGGAACTCGGCAAAAAACAAAGACCGTGCGGAAATGGTGTAAACTGTAAATAACCGGGGCGAAGAGCTCCGAGTACAGCGGCGGCGGCGGCAGGTGGATGTCTGGCAGCCTTCCGCCGCGCCGCCAGAGTCGAGCGGGGGAACCCGACCTCCTGGACCGGAGCCCGCGGGGCCTGGCCGGCCGGGGCGAGCCGGGCGCGAGCGACGCCCAAATCCCCCGCAAGTTCAAGTTCAATCGCCGCCGCCGGTACTGCAGCCAGCCCGGGCGTGCCCAGCCGCCTCTGCGGAGAGCGCGCCGTGAGCTCCCCCCCCCCCCCACCTCGAGCCAACCTGCCGCAGATGACTTTTGCTGCCTCGTGGTTTTGACAGTTTTGAGCCGCGACGGCTCACGTTACGTCTTGCCGGTCAGCCATATCTCCGCACGCTTGCCTGCTTTTCGCAAAGTCGTCATTTTGACATTTTTGGTGACGTTTGTTTAGCGAAGTACCGTAAAGTGCACTCGTGACTCTTTAGGGGCGGCCTGACCTGGGCCACACACACCTCGCCCCACCTCGCTCCGCCACGCCCCGCCACGCCCCGCCACACCACGTCCCGCCGGCGCGGCGCCCCACCACGCCCCGCCTCGCTCGCTCTCGCCCTCAAACTCACGGCCAACCAGTGAGAGCGACAAAGACAGAGGGCATGTCTCAAAAGTTATGCCCCCGCCCTGACATTTAGGGGCCGTCTATAAAAATAAGGCCCGCAATGTCCCGTGTAATTATACCGGTGTGGACGGAAAACAAACTTCTCGAGTCTTTCCGCTTGAAACACTGACTCTCGCAGCCCGGACATGCGGTGTCCACCTACACGGGCTGGCGATCACGCAGATTAGAAGACGACCGGAAGAAAAATGGGGGCGGGGTATAGAGCGAGCGAGAGAGAGAGAGAGAGCCGCGCAGGGAAATTCAGCAGCAACAAATAATTTTCCGCTGACTCGAAGCTGACCTCCGTGACCTTGCCGGAGTTCGGCAAGATAGATCCCTTGTCATAACGAATCTTTCTTGCTCCCGCTGATATTTTTTCCCACCTTCTGATCCGAGCACGTAACGCCC